GGAGGAGGAGGGGAAAATGAATTGTAAAATGGGAAGAACGGCACTCTGCCAAAGTTTTAACAATTAAATAATAGAGATCCAAAGAACTGTTTGCAACAGGACCAGAACACCACAGATTAATTGATTACACTGAAAAATGTGGGTTTTTTATTTTTCAGCTGCTCCATTTGTCTTGCTATAGGTCCTACTAAGCACATTGCAGGCAGAGTATGTTGGGGTGTTTGAGGAGCAATCAGCCTGACCAGAAAACTCCAGAAAAATTTAAGACATTTGCTCCCCTGCACCTCCCTCCTCGCGGGTATGGACACTTTTATTGTATCTACCCAAGCGTATTTACAGTCTCGTGCTCATGGCAAAGAAGACTTGTCCCTAGAGGAACCGGTAGGAGTTTCACCTCTGAAATTAATCTCTCTAAATGTCACCTAAGATTTTAATCCTCCTGTGTTTACATCCTTGTAGCCTGACACCCACTCAGCAGAAGTTTTTCTGAGCAGACTGCAAGCTGCATGTTACCACATATGCCATAATAAACAAATACAACTCACGCACGAGCAATTCAGAAAAAGTTCAGGTACACAGGTATAACTACCAAAATGGAAAGAGATATTAAGCATAAGATGGTATAATTGCAATTTTTATACTAGACCAGTTAACTTCTGTTTTCTTCATCAAGTAGAATGGAGAAAGAAGAACCTTGGAAAAAATTTTGAGAATAAAATAGATTGTAGGTTTTTTGGTTTTGGCTTATTGTTATGTAAGTACCTGGGATACTGTGATTTTTTTTCTTTCCCCTGGAGTGATTTCTGGTTTATTTTTCACAACAAAACCACTGAAAACCATTCTGTGAAGCAAAATTAAGACATGTAGCAGCATTTGCATCACCTAGCTAAAGTCTGCTGCTTGAATGATTTATCAACTTTTGGGTTTAAAAATGTTTGGATAAAAAGAAAAATATGGTAAATCAAAAATCCACATCTGGGTTATAAACTAACTCAGAAAATGGGTGGATACAGCTGATTAAGAGAAAAAGAAATGTTGGTCTACTTGTCTAAGCCACAAAAGGAGAATTTGTAAGACTTGACATTTTCAGAGGCTTAGGATTTAGCTGTGTAGAAAAGAATAATAAAAGCCATTAGTGATTACAGCATCCTGCAAATTGGCATCAGATGGTATCAGGAGAAGGCTGAGTTGTTTGCAGAAGTGCAACAAATATACTTGAAATGTAGCAAGCTGAAACATGTGGTTGCACTTCAGGAATCGGGGAACATATTTATTTTTGATTTCTGGAAACAGTGAATAGAATCAAGAACATTGTATCTAAAGTGGTAAATTATTTCTTTCCTACATCCACATCCAAAAACCGCATCACTTTTAAATATGTTTTAAATAAAAAATGCAGTGTTTTATTACAGGGTATTTTCCTTTACTTACCTTAAAAAAGCCCAAAAACCTCTAGGAAATACATTTGCTCTGTTGTTCACAGATGCAAATTAGAAATTAGAGTTCTCATGCCAATTTATCCAATTTCTTTATTCCCAGTCTTTGTGCTCAGTACTATGTAAAAGCCACAATTAATGAGACAGAAAGTGTGAGGTCCTTTAAGACAGTTACCTGGCACCGTCTTCAGCTTGCTTCTCTGGGGAGCACTGTTTTGATTATTTGTCTTCTGTTTCAGTCTCTCTGGGGCTGATGTCATATTTCCACTATCAGAGGAATTGTGCAGCAGCAAATCCAGGCTGTGCCATTCCCCTCTCTTTGGTAAGTACAGTTTAAGGTTATGGAGACCCTCCTTGCTCTCTTGCTGTCTGCTCTGAAGTGAACATACACCCTTCAGAACCACAGGTTTTCAGAAGGTAGGTAAGTACCTGGCAAATCTCTTCAGCCTATTGCATGACAACCAGAAGTTGCACATGATTTTATAATTAACTGTTTAACTTCAGCTACAGGAACCCTCACTTCCTGGTGCCGCAGAAAGTCTCTGGGTTTGGGAAGGAGAACTTATGAAGATTTTTGTTATTTTACTTGGAGAGGGATGTATTTGCTCCTCCAGACCCTTGTTAAAGAATAGGCCATTGCACTGTTACCAGGTTTGTCCGTTCTGGTAAACTGGCTGAGTTACAAGAGATGAGATCTATTTCTTCATCTGGTCTGTGTTTCCTACCTGGCCTTAAGGCTGTCCTCTGAACACATACACACATTTACAGGTGTGAGAGAAGGCACAGAATAGATGCCAAGTGGTCTTTCCACAGCTTTACAGTTCAGTCCTCCACTGTATAGCTGATCTGAGAAAGATTAATTTACTCCCATTCTTAATATGGCTGGCATCAGATGTCCTATAGAAATTCCAAGATGTGTACTTGAATGCACCACAACATGGACTGCTGGCTCCTGAGCTCACAGACATCTCTGCAGAGCTAGGCTGTGAGGAATGTGGGACTATTGTAATAGGTCTGTCTAATCCATGTGTGCACAGGCGGATTAAAGGCATAGGGGCAGCATCTCATCTTGCCCTGGTGAAGGTGATGAACATGCTCACATATCTCAGCCAGAACATCTCTAATGGCACAAATAAATACAACTTGAAAAAAATGTGAATTCACTCTGGCAATCCCTGCAGAGATGTGAGCTTTAGGCTGCTGAGATGAAACAGCCTGAAGTATAGGAATGCTTTGTGCCACCACATTTCACACCAGCTGAAACATGTAGCTGTGTAATCTGCAGGAATCATAAACAGAATATTAAATTCTTGAAAAAATAGATACAGGAAAATATTTCTTTTATGAGAATCATAAACAAATGTAATGCCTTCCAAATTCCCAACAACTTCTGAAATCGTTCTCTGAGCAGAAACATCTGTGTCACGGATAAAATATAACACAGCCTCTGATTTTCTTCTCCCTTACTCTGATTTTAGCCTGGTCAAATGTTTCAAGCTCTGTGCTGAAATTGCCAGTTCTTAGCAATACTGCAGCCACAATGGGATGTTCAGCTGTGGGTTATTGCCTCCAGAGAAGTACTTGCTCTATTCAAAAAGCATGGGAGAACACAGGTTTTGGTGGAGGAAGAGTACAATTAGTAGTAATCCCAAGAGGTGAAATTTTTATGGAAGAGAACAGTGTTCAATGCATTGCCCCAGATTATCGCTACAGTCAAACTATAGTAGAAGAAAAAATCTGTTTCAGGACCAAGAATACTTTCCTTGTATAATTAGGTTCTGCAGACTTCATAGTGGATGTCTGCATCTCCCTCATTTCCATTTATCCTCTGAATACACTGTGGAGGATAATCTGTCCTGCTCACTTCGTTACTCACTTTTTGTTATCTCTCCTGAAGATTTAAATTCAATATTATCTACTTAAAATATTTGTTTGTGGAGGCAGAAGTCTGCCACATTCTCTGCGTAGGATATTTTTGCTGAGGTGCAAGGGCATTTGAAACACATCTGTGGAACAAGATGCTTGTTCTTTTCTGTTAGTATTTAAAATGAGGTCTCCGATTTTGTGTGTTTAGTAGATAACTCTTAGAACTTAGTTGCAGTCAAATTTTTACAACACCACAGGACACATGGAAACTCTCAGTGTGTCACATTGGTAGCTGCTGATGGCTTTTCTGCTCCTGAACCTGACGTACTGTGGAAAAACAGGCATGGATGACAATCATGCATACTCACAAAGAGTGCTAGATGTATGGCTGGACTCAAGAGGAAATGTGGAAAGCAAATCCTTACTAGGCCTCCAACTTGACAATATTTGCCTTCTTTTGACTGCTGCTCTTCATTTTATTCATTTGTGGATGCCTAACAAATATACAGTAGGGAAGCAGGCTCCCCCACCCTTTAAATATTAATTGCCTGGTAATAGAATTCCTTTTCTAACTCTAAAATGATACTGAAGTCCCAGAACTAAATCAGTTGCTGTCAAGGCTCCCATTGTGAACAGTGTCACATCTGTCATCCTGCAGGTCACTGAAGAGAACAGGAATGCCTCAATGAATCTGGCTGAAGGCTGTTTCACCTCTCTAAAAGACATCCGCTCCAGGTAACACAAAGTCTCTCCCTTGTGGTTCCTATTCTCACTTTGACTGTCACCCTGCAGGAAGCGGCTGCAAGAAAGGAAACCTAAGGCTTGGATTCCTGCTTATCTTAGAGAGGTGCTGGTCCTTCAGCAGTGGTGAAATGAAGATCTTCTCTGGGGCAGGGTTGGGGCAAGAGTCCTGAAGTACAGGGTAAACTGATAGAGGCCATTGTGCTACCTTTCAGAGGTGATGAGAGAGACTGGGCAGCATGTGGACAAGGGTTGGAGGAATCTTAAATTATTTCTGGTTGTGTTTGGGGTTAAAGTCTGAGGCGGTGGTACTGTATATATTACATACAAATTTTTAGCTAAGTATTTACACAAGGTTGGTAAGAGGTAGGTAATATCCATGCTGAACCTATGTTGGTGGCAGAGAAGTGATGGATGGCATTTGTAGGGTAGACTCACAGAACCCACAGACCTCCGTGGGTACTTTGTTAGCAGAGCAAGTGATGCCCTTTTTCGTATTAAACCTAAAATGTCCACATTGCATTTTATTAAAAAATCTTTCGCAAAGGAGCGAGATTCAAAAGCCAAGCAGCTTACGTTTATTCTGTTGGCTGGAACTTCCGGGAAGAGCGCCGTGGATCCACAGGGAATGTCGCGACAGGCGCAGGGCGCGGGCACTGCGTGTGGGGCTGACCGCGCTCCCCAGCTCCGGGCCAGCTGAACACCCGCGGTTTTCCAGCGTCTGCCTAGCAGATTGAGGAGTGGCTTTGGTGATACGGCTTTTGTACATGCTCGTGATATTATTTAACACCTTTTTAAAATAGAGCTTGTTACTGAGCTACGTTTTGTTCTGCATTTGCTGCTGATTAAGAATATATTAAAGCCTTGTGTGGATATTGCTTGTTTACCTTAAAACATTAAATTAAAAGTCAGTTTATGCCGTTGTATATGTTTAACAAATATGTGTGTATTTCGCAAGGGTGGTCAAATGAGTGATCTCGTGGAAGAAAACTGCGGGAAAAGCAAATCTTCCCAGGAAATATCTGCAAAAAAAAATGTGTCTCCTGCTGAGGACTGCTCAATAAGACTCAAAAATTTGGTATGACTTCTTCAGTACTATTTTATTATCAAGATACTTAAAATTGCCTTCAATTTCCTCAGTTATTACAAAAATGAAGAGCTGGACTAAAGAGGGAAATATCAGTAACAACAACAGTGAAATGGATCAAGTTTGTAGTGCAGTGATTTAGAGGGCTAAGAGCAATTCTAAGTAAGTAGGGAAACAGAAGAGTAGTCTTAGAGGAAGGGCTATCACCATACCTTATTATTCTTTTGCAACTTAAAATTGCATCATTTATGATCATGAATGGTGATGATGCCGAAAATCTACCCCAAAGTCCAAAGCAGACATGTCTAAATAGGGTACATGAGATTGCCCTGTATGCTTTCAGGAGGAGGCAGCTGAAGATGCACAGCACCAACCACCTTGGAAAAAAGTGCACTCAAGTGCCTGGACATTCCTGAATCACTATATCAGCAGATTGGGCTGAACCACCACTGCTTTCCCCTGAGAAACAGTGAAAGTAAGAAATTGTTAGTGGAAAATCACACTGAACTCTGATAGGAATGACACCCTCCAGGTGTCATTTGCTAAGAGATGGCAAGGCAGCTGTATTTACATAACAGGCAACAAATATAAATTTGTATGTATTTTTGTGCCTTTACATAATGAATGACAAGTCTATGGTCAAAGCTTACAGTCATTGTCCAAAGGGAAATTGTTTGACATTATGCTTATGTTTGCAGTGACTTCAGAAGTATTTGTCAACATACATGGATTATATGGGATGGTAATACACAGCAATAATATTTTAGCTTCCAAAAGTATTCAGCAGATTTAATTAACTGTAAACATGAATTCCATAAAATTGGTAGAAAAATGAATCCTCCTATTTCCCAGAAAACCTTGTTCAGCTGAGCTTCTTTGTTTTTGTCTGTGTGTTGGGGTTTTTTTTCTCATACTTCTTGCTTGTGCATTTGCAAATGTTTCCTTACCATTGCTCCTTCAGACATTTTTCTTGCCCTCAGCTTGTTTGGATATAGTTTCTAGGCATCTGAGGGAACAGTGAAAATAAGAGTGAATCCATTTGAGATGTTTATAATCATAGTACTTGTAGCAGTTTGTTTTTTGGTGGGGGGGCACCCCGGGGAGTCCCTGAGGGCCCCCCAGGCTGTGAGTTGGCGGGCAGCAGCAGGCAGGCAAGGAGACTCCACACGGCTTTGAGGGAGCTGATTAGATGGGAGTTTATTGGGGGTCCCACCCCTGGGAACAGCATGGTTACTGAGGGAAAAGGGGGAGGGAGGGGGAGAGAGGGAGAGCCTAGGGGAGGGAAGAGCCAAGAGAGGAGGAGACGAGCCAAGAGAGGATCTGGTTTCCCTCACACAGGTTAAGAGAAAGATTCAAAGTGGGCGCGGAATCAGACTTGTGCCAATGGGATTACAGATACAGGATGGTTCAGGGCAGGACCAGAGGCTTGGGATATACCATACATTTTGGAGGGCTGAGACAAAACATACCATTTAAATAAAATGCAATACCACACGTTCCCCTTTTTTCGTTAGAAAGAAAAGATAGAGATATGACAATTAACAATTTTAAAAATGAAGCAGTAATTACACAGTTTTGTAGCATCAAAATAAATACAATTGCAGTGAGGATTATGTTTTTAACAGCCCATTTGACTTGATGTTTGCTTTTGGTGGTAGGCAGCAAATATAAAATGAGCATTTAATTGTAATAAACAGGTTATGTGGGTCCATATTGCAGATCTTAAGCAAATTTGAAGCATGGGCGAGTGCTTAAAGGGCTTCAGCCTTTGGCACTAAGCTCATATGAGTTTTGGGATTGGCCTTTTCAGCGTGACTGGCCCAGTGGTGTCTAACCTTTTCCAACTGGCTTTTTGGACCACCACAGCCCCCAGTTTAGGCTGAGGCGCCAACTGTGGTCCCTCTCTCAAAGCTCTCATCTTCCAACCAGTTTAACTTAGAAGACCTCCAGTTTCAGGTCATAAAAAGAAAAACAAAAAGATAAAAAAGAAATTTGGCTTCAGCTACAACCTATAATCAGGGAGCATTCACCACAAAAACTGTCAAAATACTTTCCTAGACACCATATTAGGTTATCAGTTGACACAATCTGTCCTAAGGACGAGATTCTTGAAGGTTCATTTCACTGATCTCAGAGTGGAAAAACTGACACGACAAGGGGGTTTTGCAGTAAAAATCAAAACAAATGTACTTTTATTGAATAACCACAGCAAAATGCATTAGGGAGAAAGGGAATGAAGAGAAGGGAAAGAATAAGGAAAAAGAGAGAGAGGGGAGGAAAAGGAAAGCGGGGTGTAGCTACCAGACGTGGGGTGACGGCGTCCTTCGAAGTCTGATCGACGAAGCCTGTCACGTGCACATCAGGGGAGATCTCAAAAGCCCCCAGCTAACCCAGGGGTTTTTATTATTGAAAACTGCAAAGCGGGGGAAGAACAGATACAACAGTCCATGATCTCAGCGGTGGGTGAGAGCCATTGTGTTTTCGGTCCAGTGGTCCCTTGCAAACTTGCTCTGGTTACCTGGCCTTCCCCGCACACACGTCCCCCCCTCTGCAGTAGGGATTTCAGTCTCAGTCTTTGGGGAAGAAGGGGAAGCTTTTCTATACAGGGGTGACATGTCTCAATCCTTGATGGGAGAACCTTCTCCCATCTCAGTCCATCTGTCACGGTGGTTGATGGACGGTAAATGAAGGGTCTTATTTGTGGGGACCACCAAAAGGTAAAGTCCAGCCAAGCTGGGAGGTGGGGAAGATTCCAGAACCAGTGCTGCAAAGCGATCCAGGTGAAGGAGGGCACAGGGCCCCTTCTTGGGTGCAATGTTCCATGGGGTGAGCAAACACACCCATAGACAATAGAATGGCTTGGTGGAACAGTCAGACACAGATTTTCAGAACAGGATCTTCTCCTTTCCCCGGTGGTCTTGACTTTCATGATGATTGAGAGGCAAAGAATGAGGGAAATTTCGGACAGACACATTGGTCACCCTCAGAACCTACTGAGGAGAGCACAAACACAGCAGCGATTAGGACTCAGCAGTCTAATACTGTCTGAACCCTCGCTATTAAAGAAACAATTGAAAACTGCTTCTCATTGGATCTACCCTCGTGACCTGACAGGCCCCTGCTTTCTAAAACTGAAAACAGGACAATCTGCAATATGAACACACATTTAAACTAGAAATGCATAATTGTAAAAACTACTTCATGGGGACAGGAAGGAAGTGGAGAGAGGACAGGTATTGGATAAGAATGATAAAAAGGTTAAATGATTTTAGGATAAACGTTCTAGCTGATGAGCTCTTTTCAGCTAGAACAAGTGGATAGGGATTGGGAACTGAGGAGTCTGTGAAAGAAAAACTTTTTTGGGGTACCCTGCACCTTCAAGCAGTTTGCTCCCAGTGATCTACCCAAAATAAGGAAAAAAGGGGTATGGATTGCAGAGAAGGCTATCATCCTGCTCTTGGAGTAACAGGGGAAGGAGATCATAAAGTAGAATTTTCAATTCAGTGAAATGTTGAGGCTTAGCCATGTGGCTGCAGTGCCGGGTTTAGAAGGATGGGGTGGATTCCCGGAGGTTTATTAAGGGGAGGGCAGGTTAGGAACGGATTTAGGGAGAAGGAGCAGCGAGGGGAAAGAAAAACCGCGGAAGGAGGTCACAGAACTGAGGAGAAGAGTTTTGGGGAGGTGCGGGGCTCGGGCAAAGCTGCCAACGGCATCTTGCAGGTCTGGTGGTTCCCGCGCAGGAACTCGGGGTTCGGTTCCTTCTCTCGCCGCCGCCGGGCCGGCGGGCGCCTCGCGGCACCACGTGCCACCGGAGCGGCGAGCGGCGGCCGCGGACTGGCGGGGCCGCGGCTGCTCCCTGGCGGCCGCCCCACGATGCCGAAGGCGACGGGCGCCACTGGGGGAGGGCACCCCGGGGAGTCCCCGGAGGGCCCCCCAGGCTGTGAGTTGGCGGGCAGCAGCAGGCAGGCAAGGAGACTCCACACGGCTTTGAGGGAGCTGATTAGATGGGAGTTTATTGGGGTCCCACCCCTGGGAACAGCATGGTTACTGAGGGGGAAAGGGGAGAGGGGGAGGGAAGGGGAAGAGGGAAAGGGCCTAGGGGAGGGAAGGGACAAGAGAGGAGAAGGGCCTAGAGAGGAGGAGAAGGGCCAAGAGAAGAAGGGCCAAGAGAAGAGGAGAAGGGCCTAGAGAGGATCTGGTTTCCCTCACACAGCTCAAGAGAGAGATTCAAAGTTGGCTCCGAATAACACTTGGGCCAATGGGATTACAGATCGATGATGGCTCAGGGCAGGATCACAGGCTTGCAATATACCATGCATTTTGGAGGGCTGAGACAGAACATACCATTTAAATAAAATGCATTACCGCAAGTACTTGTTTTTACATTTTAGATGAACAACAAAAAACATAATTCTGCTTCTCACGTGGCAACTTGCAACCTCCAAGCCGCTATACCAGAGTCATGCGTTCAGAGTCATGATTATTCCATCTCCAGTCAGGATGCACAGTCGGTAAAGGGAGTACTTGATTAATAGTTAGACAAGCAAACATTTTAAACAATCAATGTGATTTATCAGTTATCAGGAATATTAATTTTAATGTAATTCAGAAGTGAGGACACTTGCCAGCTCATAAAGATATTTTCCAATTGTAATTTACTAATTACAAACTTTCTGTTGTTCATTTATAGCAAAAACTCGAGAACCAGTTAAAATCCTTGACCTTTCAAAATCCAGGACCTCAGGTAGCTGACTTCAATCCTGAAACTCGACAGCAGAAAAAGAAAGCATGCATGTCAAAGATGAAACAAAAAGTTTTTTATGAGTCCAAGTAAGACGCCTAATTTATTACCTGATTTACTTTTAAAAATGCTTGGTAGACCATTCACTGAATCTAAATGAAATTAATAAAAACATTGTATTTTGCAGAGTGATTTCTTGAAAGCCATATTGGGAAAACAAGATTTTTCTGTGTGACTTAAAGGGAATTTTGATACAGTATGGCATGCATTCATTTTTTAGTACCAGTAGCTGTTGTAATTAGGATATAATGCTGGTATTTCATTTTGCTATGAGTTTGGTAAAGACTAAATACTTGTTGTGCAGATGTTTTCCATATGTGTTTGGTTTAGTGTCTGAATGCATTGAAGCATTGTCTGAACGTAATTTTTGTTCTCTTTCACAGATCTGCAAAGAAGTATGACAAACGTGGCAGGCTGCTTTGTAATAACATAGATTTATGTGATTGCCTGGATATTGATTGTCTCGGTTGCTTCTATCCTTGCCCCAAATGCAACTCAAACAAATGCGGGCCAGAATGTCGCTGCAATAGAAAATGGGTTTATGATACGATTGAGACTGAAGCTGGGGATGTGGTCAGTGAGCTACCGTTTTTTGTCCCTGACTGATTATGTTCTGTTAGGTTTTGTACCTGAAAATTTTTCGTTTTAATTCATGTTTTATTAAAGTAAATCACTACCTGAAAGAGGTGTTTGTGCTTTTTTCTTTTTTTTTTGCTGCCTATCTAGCAAACTTTACCATTCCCCATCAAGTAAAAGTGTGTATTTCATTCTTCCTCATCCTTGTGAGGTTTGGCTGAGGCACCTAGTCAATTCTTTCTGAATCCTGACTTTCTAAAATTAAAGGTATCTGAACTATTATGGGAAGATAATTTTCTTACCCTGGGAGGCTGAATTGCATTACTTGCAATGAGGGTTTTTTGCTGATTTCTCTGCTTGTTCATTTACTCAGATGTGTGACACAGCTCTTTCTTTTGTGTAGGCTTGTCCAAGAGCCTTCTCATCCTGATGCATTCATTCCTCATATAGGTGAGGCAGGAGGCATTTGAGATAACAGTGTTCTTTGAAACTAGGTCACTGCTTTCCATGTTTGTCTGTATATTAAGCAAAGGAGAGTGGAAACAACTCTCTCTCAGCAATTCTTTCTTGCTGCCCAGGTTGAAAAACTGAAACCAACATGTACAGTCTGTAGTATTTTTTTGCAGCATGGGGCACATTAAATGTCCACTGGTCATTAATTATATGGCTAAACAGAGCAGATATTTTTTCTTCTAGACAGAAAAGCCTCTTTAGTTCCAGGAGTTTCCTCTTCATGTAAGACATGACAGATTTTAAAAACAATAACTTACAGCCAGTCTTCTTATGAGGTAGGTATTCTCATTCATGCTAAGCATCCACACCCTTTTGGAGAAGTGAGGGTCCCTCTAGATTTTGAAGGCAGGAAGGCTGCAGATGGTTGCAGGTGATTTCCAGGAGCATGCTGCTAATGGGGGAATCATTCCTTGAGTCTAGTGCTTGTTTGTTTTTGAGGAGGCTCTCCCAGCTTTGAACTTGGCACGACTTTTCTCCCTTACCACAAGCCATTCTCTGGGACAAAGACCGTCTGCTCAAAGATATTTTCCAATACGAGAAACTTGGGAACAGATCCCAGGAATGTCTTGACACCAAAATTTCTTACTGATTTGCTACCTTGGAAAGACTTTTTGTTCCTTTCAGATAATGACAGCTTAAGCTGGTATCATGCAGGCAGCATGGGCAACTAGCTGGAGGAGCTGGAAGCCATGGTGCAGTGGGAATGCTGTGACACAGTCACCATCAATGAGACATGGTGGGACAACTTGCACAAGTGGAGTACTGTGATAGATGGCTGTAAATTTTTCCGAAGGGATGGGTGAGAAAGGAGAGGTGGGGAGGTAGCCATGTAGGAAGGAAGAGTTTTGGTTGTCTCGAGCTCAATGATTGTGACAATAGGGTTGAGTGTTTCTGGGCAAGAATCAGTGGGAAGGACAAAAATGCAGATATCCTGGTAGGAATTCATTGTAAACCACCAAACAGAAGGGAGAGGCAGATCAAATATTATATAAGCAGTCTCACAATTTCTTGCTCTTCCTCTCTAGGGGAACTTCAGCTTTCCAGATGCCTACTGTCAATACAATATAGCAGAGAGGGAAAACAATCCAGGAAGTTCCTGGAATATATGTAAGACCATTTTCTGACACAGCAAGTCAGTGAAGAGGAGGCACTGTTGGACCTGTTTGTCAACAGAAAAGAACTAGAGGATGATATGAAGGTCTGAGGCAATCTTGGGTACAGTGATTATGAAATTATATTTTTCAATTCTCAGAGGAAAAAATGAAGGGTGTCAGCATAACTGCCATCTTGGATTTAGGAAGGTCTGTCAAGGGGCCTGGATGTCAAAATCCCTTAGGAGGCAGTTCTGAATGGAAAAGGAGTCCAGGTTTTTCCAGAAGAAAGTCTTCAGGGTGGAGGCTGTTCTCATGTGCCAAAAGACAAGCTGATGTGGAAGAAGGGCATCCTAGCTGAACAGAGAGCTTTGGCTGGAATTCTGGGTAAAAAAGAGAAGATAACACCTTTGAAGGAAGGGGAAGGCAACTTAGGAGGACTACAAGGATGTTGTGAGGTTATGCAGGGAAAGAAATAGAAGGGACAAAACCCAGAAATTAATCCAGCTACTGCTGCAAAGGACAACATAAATGTTTTTATGAATACACCAAATGTTTTCATAAATACATAGAGAAGTGTTTGGCCAATGTTCTCAAGCACATGATATAGCTCTTGGGATGTCCTGTGCACGGCTGAAAGTCCCTTCTGACTCACCATATTCTGTGATTAGGTGATCGCAAAAAAAAAAGGAGGGCTAAGGAGGATCTCCTTACCTCATAGATGTGGGGAGATGCATCATGACAAAGGATGAGGAAAAGGTAGAGGTACTTAGTGTCATCTTTGCCTCTGTCCTTAATAGCAAGATGGGTTCTTTGGGTCCCCAGCCTCATGAAATGGAAGACAGGGATGGGGATCACCACTGACCTGTTATACCACTTAGACACACCCAAGTCCATGGAGCTGGATGGAATCCACTGAAAGTTACTGAGGGAGCTGTCAGCAAAGCTCACCAAGCCACTTTCCATCATGTACCAGCAGTCCAGGATAACTTATGAGGTCACAGATGACAGAAGGTTGGCAAATATTATACAAATCTACAGGAAAGATTGGAAGGAAGATTCAGGGAACTATAGGCTTGTCAGTCTGGCCTCAGTGCCGGAGAGGGTCATGAAGCGTATGCCTTCACGTGGTGTGTATGGGGCAACCAGGGGATCAGGCACAGTCAGTTTGGGCTTAAGAAAGGCAGGTCCTGCTTGACTAACTTCTTTTGTGACAGGATGAGCCTGTCTAAGGAAAAGACTGTGGATGTCTACCTGGACTTTGCTAAAGCCTTTGACACTGTTCTCCACAGCATTCTCCTGGAGAAGCTGACTGCTCATGGCTTGGACAGGGGCACTCTGCCCTGGGTTAAAAACTGGCTGGATGGCCAGGCCCAGAGAGTGAAGGTGAATGGAGTTATATCCAACTGGAGGCTGGTCAGCAGTGGTGTTCCCCATGGCTCAGTGTTGGGGCCAGTCCTGCTAAACTGGTTTGAATGCTCCCTCAGTCAGTTCAGAGATGACACTAAGTTGGATGGGAGTGCTGATTTTCTGGAGGGTAGGAAGACTCTGCAGAGGGATCTGCACAGGATGGATTGATAGGCCAAGGGTGAGATTCAACAAGGTGAGGTGCTGGGTCCCTGGGCCACAACATGCAGGAATTGGAGAAGAGTGGCTGGAGAGCTGCATAGAGGAAAAGGACCAGGGGGTGCTGGTCATCAGCAGCTGAACATGAGCTAGTGTGTGTGCAGCTGGCCAAAAAGGCCATTGGCTGGTGGTGTAGACATGGGGCAGAGACTGTCCCCCTGTCTACAGCAGGCAAAGGTGAGGCCACACCTTGAGTGCTGTGTCCAGTTTTAGGTTCCTCACTAGAAGACAGACCTTGACTCTGGAGCATGTCCACATTCTGGAGTGAGTCCAGAGAGAGGCAATGGAGTTGTTGAATGACCTGGAGCACAGGCTCTATTAGAAAAAGCTGAAGAAGCTGTGGGTGTTTTTCTTGGGGAAAAGGAGGCTCAGAGGAGACCTTATGTCTCTCTACAACTGCCTGAAAGGAGATTGTAGACAGGTGAGGGTTGGTCTCTTCTCTTGGGTAACAAATAATAGGATGAAAGGAAATGGTCTCCATTTACACCAGGGGACATTTAGATTGGATTTTAGGAAGAATTTCTTGACTGAAAGGGTAGTCAAGCATTGGAATAGGCTGGCCAGGGAAGTGGTGGAATCACCATCCATAGAAGCACTCAAAAGGCATGTGGATGTGACACTTGAAGACTTGGTTTAGTGGTTGGACTCAATGATTTTAGAGCTCTTTTCCAACCTAAACAATTCTATGATTCTATAAAAACACCCACTACCAAAAAAAACCATCATAGGAATGTGTCCTATAGTGGTTAAAACACTCTGGTAATTGGATCTGGTGATGTTCTCTCATATACTTCACTGGTCCCCAAATATCCTTTGACTTCTGCCAGGAGTCCAGATAGCCCACATCATATTTGAGCTATGTTTCTTAAGGTAGATGGAAATCCTGCTGTAAGTCAGGAATTAGGAATTGTTTCTAGTTCCAGATGTGCCATAGACTCATTCTAGATTTGATGCAACAAACAGCTCTTCAAGAAGATAAAGTTGATTTAAATTTACAAGAAGATGGCAGCTTTTGACATAACCTCAAGATCTGAAATGGACAGGTTTGAATTATCATCTATTTCTTTCTACTTTAAGGCAACAACCTAAATAGTTTATCACATGGATTCCTGTGGTAAGGCTACATATTACATTTTCTGAGTAATATGGTTAATACCAGATGGGTGGTAATCCCATTGTTTAATTAATTTGTGTTACTCTGTGGTTTTCAAAATGGACTCTGACTCAGTCACAGTCATTGCTAAACACAAAGTCTAAGAGAACTCCATCACAAACACATCTATTGTAACCTTGGAAATAGAGCACAAAACCTGAAAATAAAACAAAGGTAAGAGCCAAGTTAAAGAAATAATAGGGCAGAGGCAGTTCCGCTGTGGTTTGAAAATTACTCTACTATTGCAATGATACTGCTAAATTTTCCCCCAATTCCAAATGAGGAGTTCAGAGTGCACAAGTATAATTCTATTAGGGCAGATGTACATGGGGAAGAAGAAAACATGTTGTACATATTTTTATATGAATTGTGAAAGTTATTGGTAGATACAAATAGCAACACGGTACCCATATCTGACAGTTTTCTTAAGCAATTACATAATACCACACTGCATGGCATTATGGTTTTAAATCCCATAGGAAAAATGGCAGAGAACATTTTGTAGTCTCTTGAGAGATTGGTTATGCTCCAGATGACATCAGTTCATCTTACACTTTATAAATCAGTCTAAACAGAATATGATTTTCCTTATGGAATAAGTTTGGTCTAGAAAGCTGACTAAGGGAAAACAGATCAATGTACTCTTC